TAATGGATTTTGGCTTCAGGGTTTAGGGTTCTGAGCTAATTAGTCGAGTGTTCAAGGGCGTCATCCAGGATTTTGAACCCTAAACCCAAGACTCTAAAGCCTAAGGCCTATAGCCCTAAAACCCCAAGCCCTAAACCCCAAGCTCTAAACCTTAAGCCCTAAGCCTGAAACCCTAGTACCTCTGACGTGGTTACCCATTTCTGCTTGATGAAGAGTGGGTAGTTGTCAAAATTAGGGTCTCATTTTGGGTACCCTAAATATTAGGTGCCGTATTATAAAAATAATCCAAAAAGGGACCATAATTTTGACAACCACCCGAGTGGACAGAAGCAGGCATGCTGTGAATGAGAGGAGGATGCATTGTGCAAGCTGTTGGCGCTAGCCGTGCCTGTATTCAGCCGTGGGTCCCAAACTCCATTGCTCTACCGTTTTAAGCATTGCGCTCCAGCGGCAGGCTTTGTGAAAGTTGGCTGCCGCTTCTTTCAGCTGCTGCCACGCACACTGCATAAGATGGGAAGCATGGCTTCGCACAGCAGTGATGCAGAACTTTGCGCTCTGGTCGATGTCTTTTTGCATGACTCTGCACCTGTGGACGAGGCTACATTCATCATTTGATTGCAGATGTGCCTTGGATGCAGACCGCGACTATGCAGCTCAAAAGGGCGTCCGCCGCCGACAAGTCGTGCCTAAACCCCAAACCCCATAGAACCCGTAAAGGAATCCTTAAAAAAACCTTACAGCAACACTTCAAGGAATCCCTACTCAAAGTTTCCTATCCTTCCACTAAAATATTAATATTACTATAAACCCTACAACGCTAAACTCTAGAGAACAAGGAGCCCCTTCAAGTAAGTAAGGCCCGAGACAGCCAAAAGGTCGCTCCGGCAGACCTTGCGGCCCAGACGATGGCCAATGCCCGGCGCGTCTTCGGGCATCCGTAGGGGCCCCAGAGGGGAGCCCAATGCCCCTTAATTAAGGAATATAGGTTAAATCATCATATTCAGCCCTTGATGATTTAAGGTATATTCCCTAATTAAGTGGTATTGGGCTCTCTGGGTACAGTAAGGCTTCTTCTACGGTTTAGGGGTTCAGGGCTTAGGAATTAAGGTTTAGGGAGAGACCCCAGAATGTTTATAGGGCTTCTTATAGGGTTCAGGGTTTCGGGTTTAGGGCTCAGGGTTAAGGGTTCAGGGTTTAGAGATCCCGAGAAGCTTGACAGTTTGATTCTTAGTAGTAGGGAGTGGGGGAATGGGTTATTGGGACTACAAATGGGGACCTTAAGGGACTATATAAGGATCCATTCCCCCATTTCCTATTGAGAACCAGACATTTGAGGGCTTCCCCGACAGTCCAATACCCCCTTAACTTCGGAATATGGGGTAACTCATAATTAGTATGAAGTTCCGTATATTTCAAGGTATACTTACTCATTTTAAGTAACGAGTATTGGGCTCACTAGGTTCTTATAGCGTTTTTCGGTGTCTAGGGTTTAGGGGTTCAAGGTTTTTGGCTTAGGCGTTTTGGCGAAATTTTCGGAGTTTAGGGTTTAGGGTTTGGAAGCTTCTTGTTGAGTAGGGCTCAGGGTAGGACTTAGGGGTTTAGGGTTTTGAGAATACGGCCTCCTTGCTACATAATGTAGGGGTCTCATTAGCTAACAGATGTTATTAGTATTCCCCATGTGGTCCGTAGGTAATCATGCTGTAGTGGAAATCTGAGGGCTTAAGATCCCTAGTGCCCTCCTCTCTTGAACCACAGCCTTCGACATCCTGCCCCAAGCCGTGGTGAGCTGCTGAACATTCTGAAGAGGCAAGTTGAACGGAGGAAGAAGGATTGCGAAGGCGTTGCAATGCAACTGGATGAGTCGCATCGAGATTTCGAACAGGCCTTCCCGAAGGAGAAAAGGTTCGCGCGCCAAAAGAGTGGCACATCCAAGACCATCAGGTACACGGTGGCAGCATGGGTGTGGGATAACCAGAGTTCCACGGTTCACACCCAAGCACTATCGAAAGTACAGATGGTCGTTTCCGAAAATTAGGGTACCTTATTTTGGGGTCCCTATAATAAGGATCCTACTAGTTAGGGTACTATATTAGGGTCCCCTATTATCGGAAACTCCCAGATGGCCCGCAATGAGCTTGAGTCTCCGACACGCAGGCATCCGAAGGAAGTCCTCCGTTCGGTGGCTGCTGCTAACTCTCGGCAGTCCCCGCGGCTGTTGCACGACCGTAGCGAGTGACGGCCAAGATGTGTCCACCATCTTCGAGCTGAATTCAGAGAGGCTGGTCATGACTTCGAAAAGCAGCATCGGGTTTCCTTGCTTGTAGAATTACATGACCTAGGGTCGGAATGGTTTGTAATCATGGTCCCAACTTACTTATACTCTAGCACACCCTAAGAACCTAGTTGATTATTAAGAAACCCGTTCTATGTGATTTCAAGATCTTCTTCTATTTTCACCAGAAATGGAGAACCCCAAACCTTCAAACCCAAACCAGAGACTGAAACACCTCGACCCCTCAACTACACCGTACGATACCCCCCCAACACCCACTAGCAAGGAGCATAAGGCCTCATTAAGGGGTACTTGGGGGTCCTGGTATATACCCTAAGCCCTAAGCCCTATAAATCTTATAAACCCTAAACCCTTTAATTACAGATCCCGTTAAATGTGCCCTTTAAGGGACCGTGTAAAGAAACCCCGGGTTAGGGTGTATGGGGGTTTTCAGTGTGGGGAAGCATGGGGTTTGAGTCCCAAGCCCTGCGCCCAAAGCCCGAAACCTTAAGCCCTCTTGGCTAGAAGCCTTGTTACCCACGGAGATCAATACTCCTTAATTACGGAAGAGAGCTGAAATCATAATAGGGAGCCCCTCATGATTTGAGGTTTGCTCCTTAATTAGGGGGTATTGGGCTCGCTGGGTAGAAGCCTTAAAAAACCCATGGTTTAGGGTTGAGAGTTCAGGGTTTAGCTCTGAAGAGCTCCTTGAAGAACCCGTGATAGAACCCTTGAAGGGGCCGGCTTGTCCCGAGGCAGCGCTCATGACGTGCTTCGCCACGCGTTCGGCACGAAGAGATGGAGGCAGTGGTTTGAAGGTTCAGGGTTCCTGGGTTCACCAGGGGAGCAAACAAGCCCCTAAACCCTCAACCCTGAACCGTAGATCTCTTCGTACATGTATGTATGTATGTATGTATGTATGTATGTATGTACACACATATATATATATATATATGTATGTATACATACACACATGTTTATATATATATATATGTATATATATATATATATATATATGTATATATATATACATACACACACATATATATATATATATATATATATATATATGGATATATAAATAAATAAGTATATATATATATATATATATGTAAAACTTTCTATATATGTATATGAGCATCACGCTCCTAGGTTTGGGGCAAAAGGCGGTGTAAGGATTCTAAACAGGGGGATTCCAGAAATGCCTAAGATGCTCATCTTTATGTGGTCATTTTGGGCCCGCATTCATTCGTGGTTTAGGGCTTTGGGTTCCGTGATGGGGTTAGACAGAGAAGATGGAGGTTCTAGGCTGTGGGAGAAGAGAGCACAGTGAGTATAAAGAGGAGTTATTGATTGAGACACTCTGCAGGCCTTCATGTTCCGGGGATTGCAACCCGAAGCCCTAAACCTGAGAAGGGTAACAGTGACTATAAGGATCTTAGGGCCCTCTTATATTCCGATTATACCACTATTACAGGGTGGGGGCCCCTTCTAACCTAAACCCCTGGCTGCGAGAGTAACAGGTCCGAAGGGTAGACGCTTTCAAACAAGAAGCTACACACTCACAGTATGTGGGTTGTACAGGGTTTTGGGGCGTCGGCCCGTAGAGAGCTATCAGGCAGCTAAATTCTGGCGCGGCGCGGCAACATCGAGTGAAACACTTAGACTTAGGGTTTAGGATTCAGCGGTTAGGGTTTGGTGTTTAGGGTTCAAGGTTTAGGATCACAGGGGAGAATAGAAGTACTGGCTGGTCGACAGATCTAACACAAGTCACTCCGGACGAAGATTCCTGCTTCATATCCAAAGTTAAAACTGGCAAAGAATCATTGCCATGATAGCTGTAGTAAGAAGCGCAGACAACTGTAATAGCATCAGCATCCACTTGGACGACAAGCCCCTATTAAACCGCGACTCCTCAACCCTGAGCCCTTAATGGAGCCTTAACCCCTCAACCCTACATCCTAGTCGTTTAGAGTTTAGGGCTTATGCTTTGGGTCATGTAAGCCCTAAATTATTTGAATGACCGGCGCGGGCTGTTAAACGCGAGGGTTTCAGCACACCCGACTGTGGGGCCTCGCATGAGTCCCCCCATGAACCGGATAGGTGAGTTTCCTCACATGCGGGTTCCTTTGATTTTGGGGATTCTTCTTCTCAGGGTCTGTGGCTCCAAGTAAGGACTGTTCAGGTTTGGTGGCATTCGGCGTTAGGATTCAGGATTCTAGGGTTTCAGGTTTCAGCTTGTGGGTTTCAGGACATCGGGGTTTCGTATTTCCGTGGAGGGTTGAGAAGTCAGGGTTTCAATCCCGAACGACAGGAACAAAGCGGCCCCCGTCACATCAGCGTTTGGCTCGTTCCTGCGCTGTGCAGCATCACATGGCAACCCTTGTCCCGAAACTCAAAGCCTAAACCCTAAAGTCTACGTTGAAGCCTCAACGTGAGCTTGCGTTTTCAGGCAATTGCATTGCTCTTGTGACAAGCCCTGAACCCTGAACAGCCTCAAACCGTACAACTCAAACCCTGCCAGGGCATTCAGGCAAATGAAATGAGTGATCTTCCGTTTTCTCAGGAAATGACACTGCGGCAACACGACAAGAACTCCAGCACGATTGATATAGACGCCTGAGAAATCACTAATTAAGTGCTATTCTTAGGGTCCCTTGCTATGGTTGTACCACAACATACTCCACAACGCTATCCTATCAAGGACTCTCAAGTAGCTTGATCATGGATGGCACGTTTCTGGAGAGTCGTTGGTGGCGAGAGAGGAGGGCTGTTGGTGCGAAGCGGTAGGGAGCTAGCCTCCGCAGAGAAGGAGGAGAGGCTGGCTAGCCAGTCAATCCTGGAGGAGCCTCTTAGCAGCTGACTAGGTAGGGCTTTGGGACATTTTATATTTTCCCTTTTTGGGGTTAAGAGGATCTTATTTACTAATATATTTCAAAGGCTTCAAAAGCCCCACCTAGCTGAGTTTTAGGGGGTATGAGAAGGGGTTTGTAGGGGTTTTACAGGGGTTGTAGGGTCTAGGAGTCTAGGGGGTGGGTTTGGGAATCCATAAACCTTAGTTTTTGTCATGTATACTTCCCTCCGAAAAGCGAAGTTTGAGACTGAGATTGGCTTGTGAACCCTAAACCCGAAAGCCTAAGCCCCTAAACCCTAAACCTTGAACCCTACGCGACATCTAAGGCTTGAAGCCATAGGGGGTCGGCTACGTTACAGGCTCCATCGAGGAGTGGGGCCAGCAGAGGGCTGGGTGAGCTTCAAGTTGAAAGACAAGGACCTTGTTGCTAGGTCTTCCAGGGTTACGGTCTAGAGTTTAGGGTTTAGGGTTTACGGTACGGTTTAGGGTTCAGGGTTTAGGATTTTCAGGGGTTAGGGTCTTCAGGGTTAGGTGTAGGGTTTAGGATTCCTGGGTTTGTTGCAGTAGTACCATGGAATATGTTTCGGACACGAGGCTTTGCTTTGTATTGAAACTGAACAGTAGGAAAAGGGCTGCGCTTATCACGAAGGGGCTGCTGGGAACTTAGGTTGTGCCTGCAGATACACGCGAAACTGGCAAGCGATTTGATGCTGCAGCGCCAATTCCAGAATTGCTCTGCGCTCAGTTAGAGAGGGAATACGCGGCCAACTGTACGACCTAATGTATCGCTCATTTCTGCCTTATGTAAATCCCGAAAACAGCGCTGAGGCTTTGTGTGCAAGCCAGCGACGCCCATGGCACTCTGAGGGACGTGCAAGGATCCCTGTCGGAGATTGAGCAGAGGGCCTGGAAGAAGCTTCGAGAATCTGATCATAAGAATGAAAAGAGCGACCTGTCCGCTTTCGAAGAGTCGATCAAAGATTTGCTCTATTTGGCGTGGAAGCGCGAGAATCGTAAGCGAGTTGTCCTGCTCCTAGCGAAACTGCTTCAGTTCTCAAGCGAAAATTCGTGGGATCGTGCGGCTCGCATCGTCTGCCAGCAGCTGTGCTTGGTGTGCTGGGCTTCATCTATGGTCGACGTTGAATCTCGGCAGTTCTTCAAGAACCTTTCGTTTAAAGTAGTATTTGAGGAACTGAGTGAAGTAAAGATTCACCGTGGGATTGAACAAAAACCCAGGAATATTATGCATGCAGAGATTCTGAGAGTCCTATCGTGGTGGTTTGTGGCTTTGGCGGCTCTCATCTCGATGACCCTTGGCCAACTTGTACCGCACCTCCCCAAGCCCGACTTGGAGGGGCAGGGGACTTAGTAAGTAGGTTATAAGTAGGGTTATAATTGGGGCAAGTCCATTTATGGCACTTATAACTCTACTTATAACCTACTTACTAAGTCCCCCCCCCCTCCCCAAGCCCCATCCCTCGCTCCCACCGCCGGTCCTGCTGAAAGGTTGTGGGTTCGGTTGAGGATTTAGAAGTTGAAGCAGTGCCACTGCCCCTGCCACTGAAACAGCTGCTGCTGCTACTACGACTATCACGACTACTGCGACTCCTACTCACACTCGCACTTGCTCTCATAGTCGGGCTAGTGCGACGAATTTTGCATTTGGATGATTGGCAAAAGGACTTGCAACCGGCCATTGACCGTTGGACGCAAAGTGGTGCCGGGGTACCTGCTGCTCTCTTAGCAAGGTTTTCTTCAAGCATAACCCGCTGTCAAATAATGTAGGAGCCTGATCAGTTTCCAATACCGTTTTTCTAGGGGACCTTAGTATAATGATCACCAGAACCCTGTTTTCCTTATTCAGGCCCCTATACCCTAAACCCCCAAAGCCCTTCCCGTATGATTCAACCTCAATACTACTGGGACCCTTTAGCGGAGCCCTTTTTCTGATGACTGAGGCCCGTACTTGGAGGTTGATGGGGAGTTGCAACTGGGTTTACAGGTAGCGTAACTATAGTTATAGCCCACATTAAGGGACTTTGCAGCCCTTCTTATACCTGCCCATGAACCTCCGAAGGTACTAGCTTTCGGGCCGGCGCGAGTTGGCCGCGATGACATGCTCCTCGTGCAGATCTTGTTCACCTAGGGTTCAGGGCTGGGGGTTGGGTTTTGTGCTGTTGCGTTCGAGAAAGCCCCACTACCCTAAACCACACGTCCAAAAATTCCAAAGCCCTAGTCCCTAAACCCTAAACCCTAGACCCATAAGCCCTAAACGCCCTAAAAGCATCTGCATGTTCTCCAGGCTGCAGCAGCAAACCCCCAAACCCTTAGCCTGAGCTTCTTTCGGACTTCAGACAACGAATCAACCAAACCCTGAACCCTAATCTCCAAACCCTAAACCCTAAACCCCAAACCCTAAACCCTAATCCCTAAACCCTAAACCCTAAACCCCAAACCCTAGTAAACCCTAATCCCTAAACCCTAAACCCTAAACCCCAAACCCAAACTTAAAAAACAAACAAAACAAACCCTAAACCCTAATCCCTAAACCCGAAGTCGGACGTCCCCAACCTGGAATCCTGGTACTCGAAAGCCTAAGCCTGCGCACAATTGGAACCTTCAGCTCGACGCAAGCGTTTAGGGGTTTAGGGTTTAGGGGTTTAGGGGTTTAGGGGTTCAGGGTTTAGGGGTTTAGGGGTTTAGGGGTTTAGGGGTTTAGGGGTTTAGGGGTTCAGGGGTTCAGGGTTTAGGGTTTAGGGGTTTAGGGTTTAGGGCGGTTAGGGGTTTAGGGTTCAGGGTTGAGGGGTTATAGGGTTTAGGTCTTTTCAAGCCCACGTAACTACTTACTGGTTAAGGTATACTAGACTCCAAAACCTTTCTCCAATTGTAGCCCTGCAAAACAAACCCTGAAGCAAAATTGTTCAGAAACCCTCCAGAAGCCCAACTCTTGTGTTTCAAGCCCTACGCGTGGGTTTGGAACGATCGGGTCGGGTTGGAGATTTCTCACAGCTCAAGTCTAATTAGCAGCTGTGTGTTCTGCGAGGATGCAGTGTTTAGGATTTAGGGCTCAGGGTTTAGGGATTACAGTTTAAAGATTCATACTCGTAGTAGTGCACACCCCGACCAGGGCTTTCAACGCGGGTTTCAAAACCGTATAGATGTAGATCCCTGGTCAATAAGCCATGCCTTAGTCTTCAGGATGTAGATTGTGGTGGAGTTCAAGGGTTTCTACCTAAACCCTAAACCCCAGCCCCCAAGCCCTGAACCCTGAACCCTAAACCCTGAACCCTAAACCCTAAACCCTAAACCCTAAACCCCTAAACCCCCAAACCCTAAACCCTATAGATCCCTTAAAGGATCCCTTAAAGGAGCCCTTAAAGGAGCCCTATAGTCCCTTTAAAGGAGCCCTATAGTCCCTTTAAAGGAAGCCTAAAACTGCAAAGGTTGGATTCCATCTTCTCAAGGCTCTTCTCGGTTCTGGAAGATCGCGCCGTGATCTTCCATTTCTTTAGCGATGGAGGCTCAGGGTTTAGGGTTTAGCGCGCAGGGTTTAGGGTTCTTTTGGGGGTTTAGGGTTCCCTAAACCCTAAACCCTAAACCCTAAACCCTAAACTTTAAACCCTAAACCCTAAACCCTAAACTTCAAACCCAAAACCCTAAACCCTAAACCCTAAACCAGAGTTTAGGGTTTTAGCTTTGGTAAGCCCGATTTAAAAGCCTGAGCCCCAAGGCCCAAGCAGCAAGCCCCCCCAAACAAAAAAAAAAAAAAAAACAAACGGAACCAAGAAAACTTAGCCCCAAATCCGAATGCAGAGGCTTAAACCCTGTTTCAGCTTTAGGATGGAGGGTTATACTCTCATCCTAGCAAGAAAAGTAGGTTATTGTTTGCCAGGCAATCCCAAACTCTAAACCCTAAACCCCTGAACCCCTAAACCCTGAACCCCTGAACCCTAAACCCCTGAACCCCCTAAACCCCTAAACCCTAATCCCCTAAGCCCCTAAACCCTAAATCCTAAACCCAAACTATTGAGCAAAAAGGCTTTGGTATCGAAGCTCTAGGACCCAGAGTAGGCCCTTATTCCCGTTTTGAGGGTTCAGGTTCCCTTATAACCCCCTTTAAACCGAAAAGGGCCCCCTTTTTCTTCCTAGGTTACTCTGAGGTCTAGTCATAACCGGTGAGTTTTGAAATGTAGGGCATTGGAGTTGGGGTTGCACTTTGGGCATTTCAGCAGACTTTGGGAATCGAAGAAAGTCGGCTCGGGGTCCCTGCAGGCCTTTGGATTCTACACAGAGTTGCGAAGAAACCGGCTTGGGGGGTTTAGGGGCTTAGGGTTTGGGGCTTGGGGGTTTAGGGGTTTAGGGGGTTAGGGGTTTAGGGTTTGGGGCTTGGGGGTTTAGGGGTTTAGGGGGTTAGGGGTTTAGGGTTTGGGGCTTGGGGGTTTAGGGGTTTAAGGGGTTAGGGGTTTAGGGTTTGGGGCTTGGGGGTTTAAGGGGTTAGGGTTTAGGGTTTAGGGTTTGGGGCTTGGGGGTTTAAGGGGGTTAGGGGTTTAGGGTTTGGGGCTTGGGGGTTTAGGGGTTTAGGGGGTTAGGGGTTTAGGGGTTTAGGGTTTGGGGCTTGGGGGTTTAAGGGGTTAGGGTTTAGGGTTTAGGGTTTGGGGCTTGGGGGTTTAGGGGATAAGGGCTTAGGGGTTTACTGTTTAGGGTTCAGGGTTTAGGGGGTTTGGGGCTTGGGGGTTTAGGGGGTTAGGGGTTTAGGGTTTGGGGCTTGGGGGTTTAGGGGTTTAGGGGGTTAGGGGTTTAGGGTTTGGGGCTTGGGGGTTTAGGGGTTTAGGGGGTTAGGGGTTTAGGGGTTTAGGGTTTGGGGCTTGGGGGTTTAAGGGGTTAGGGTTTAGGGTTTAGGGTTTGGGGCTTGGGGGTTTAGGGGATAAGGGCTTAGGGGTTTACTGTTTAGGGTTCAGGGTTTAGGGCGAAGAAACTGGCTTAGGGTTTTTAAAAGTTGGGGCGTAGGAACGAAATCCGAGTGTGGCGGTTCTTGGCGTGTCGGATAGGAGTCGGATATTCGGGGGACCCAGAGTAGGCCCTTATTCCCCTTTTTGAGGGTTTAGCTTCCCTTATACCACCCTGTCTAGGTCACTCTTAGGTCTAAGTTACAGTAAACCCCCAAAAGTTGGAAACGGGATCAAGGACAAAGACTGCTGGGATTCCCCGTGCATTGGGTTTCCAACTTTTGGGCCTCCCCGCTGACAGAACCCTCAACCCTAACCCAAAGCCCTCAACCCTAATCCCGAACCCTAACCCTAATCCCTCAACCCTAAACCCTAAACCCTGAACCCCCTAACCCTAACCCTAAACCCTAAACCCCTAACCCAAAAACCCTGACCCTAAGCCCTAAGCCCTATGCCTAGGTCCTCCTAAAGGCCACTTTCCCATCTCATGATCAAGCAACTCATTCGTTGGCAGCATTGTCAGTGACATTGCCTAACCCAAAGGGTCCAATGTACCGATATAGTAGAATGTAGGGTTTCCATATTAGGAATTACTATTATGACTTAGGGAAGTATCCCCAATAACAGTACAACGGACCCTTTGGGTAAGAAATGGATCTGAAACTGCTCACCTCACCAGTTTGCACGCCGGTGCTCTCCTCTAAAGTGCGCCCTCTGGTTGCGACAACAACGACTCCCTCACTGGCGGCCCCCATTATCACGGCGAACTCGTCTCAGGATGATCAGACATTGAGAAACGTGACAGAGCCTTGGGCAGGGAGATCCTCATTCGCCGTGGCCACAGCGACGTTCAGGACCGGTATCAGTAAAGAGGATCGGTCGAAGGTGATCTCAGCGCAAAAGGTCATCAGCACATTTGAGAAGCTTCGGGTGGAGCAACAGACGATCTTGAGTGAAGCGGCAGCAAGAGGCTTTGCAACTTTTGGGCCTCCCGCTTAAACTCTCAACCCTAATCCCTAAACCCTAAACCCCCAACCTTAAGCCCTGAACCCTAAGCACTAATCCCTAAGCCCTGGCCCTAAACCCTAAACCCTAAACCTCGACGAAGCTTCGGGGCAGGCTTTGGGATGGCGCGATCACTCCTTGGGAGGTGGGAGGAGAGCTGGCAGTGCCTGGGCTGCTAGGGTTTAGGGTTTAGGGTTTAGGGATTAAGGTTTAGGGTTTAAGGTTGGGGGTTTAGGGTTTAGGGACTAAGGTTTAGGGTTTAAGGTTGGGGGTTTAGGGTTTTGGGATTAGGGTTTCGGGTTTAGGATGATTCGAGCTCTTGTGGATGAGTTTATACCTCTTGTCTCCCTGGTTATTTCAAAACCCAGGATTTGGGCGTGGGCCTTAGAGTGCTCTCTAACTAGGGCTTGAGATCATGAAGGTTTAGGGTTTAGGGGTTCAGGGATGTTAGGGTTTATCCAAGGGTAAAACGAGGCGTAGGTATATACCCTTAATTATGCTATTATATACCCATTATTTAGCCCATTACAGGGTAGGGGTCCCCATGAAGGGTCCCCCCTTTTCCCCTTGGAGTTTAGGTTCATGGTCGCGCTACAAGGTTTTGGGTCTGGGATGTGGGCCTGTGGGCCGTATGTTTACTTCAGGGTTTGGGCTTTTAGATGTTAACAGGGTCTCGAGAGCTGAGTTTAGGGTTTATTGATGAATTACGGTGTAGAGTGTAGGTAATTTGTTAGAAGCTGCCCCCACCCTGTAATGGTGGTATAATAGGAATATATAATAGGGCCCTAATATGATCCTTACAGTCACTATTACAGGGTGGGGGCAGCTTCTAAGTAATTTCTTTAACTGCTCTGGGTAGTCATAACTTTCGCCTGCAGAACCCCTTGTAGTCCTAAAGCCCGGTTTAGGGTTTAGGGTTTAGGGTTTAGCCTTCAAGCCAGGATACAATCAATCCTGCTACCCGGGAAGGACGAATTTCGGCAGTCGCAGCTGAACCCCAGACCCTACTGTATACTCTACCCCCTAAACCTCAAACCCTGCAACCGAAACCCTGAACCTAGACCCTTAGCCCTAAACTTGGCCCGAAACCCTGCAACTTAAACCCTGAACCCTAAAACCCTGAACCCAAAAAACCTCAGCCCTACACCCTAAACCCTAAAAGTCTCAGCCCTAAAACCCTAAGCCCTAAACACCTCAGCCCGACACCCCAAACCCTAAAGACCTCAGCCCTAAAACCCTAAACCTTAAACAGCAAAAAGAAAGAACCCTCGACCCCACCTCCTGAAGCCAGGAAAGGCGAAGTTCGCCAGTCGCCTGCGGAGTCCATCAAGTGCATGATCTCTGATGGTGCTGGCTTCCTACCGCATGAGGTCGGGTTTACGGGTTTAGGGTTTGGGGTTTGGGGGTTTAGGGGTTCAGGGGGTTTAGGGGTTTTGGGGTTTGGGGCCTAGAACCGCATGAGGTCAGCTGTAAATGGTTGTTTGAAGGATTTCCTACAGGGGTTCTGTAAAGGGTTCTATAGGGTTTATGCAATGTACTGTTCAGGCTTGTTTAGAGTTGAGGGTTTGGCTGTTTGAGTTTGCGAGTTTAGGAGTTTAAGGGTTCAGGATTTCCGGGAGAAGGGGTGTTTGTAATAGATCTAGGGTATACCGGCATCTCCCTAAGCCGTAAACCCAAGATCTTTTGAAGGATGTTGTGGAATTAGGATGTACTTTACAGGGCGCCTCGGCATTCAGGATGCACTTTTTATTGCGTGCAGGCATTTAGGGCACGATATGTTTCGTGGGTGGTGGTTTTGAGTTTAGAGTCCATGATTAAACCTTTAACCCTAAACCCTAAAGTTTTGTTTATTTGGGCCGTTGGCTTTGGAATTTAGCGTCCGAGGGTCCCGGGCTTTCGGAAGTCATGTGATTCCGTCAAGGGCTCCTTGAAGGGTTCCTTTAAGGGCTCCTTTTGACTTTTCTTTTAATTGGTCATGAAATTGCTGTTTTGTACCGTTTCATTGAGGAATCCAGCGCATCTTTTTGCTGTTCTTCAAGGGGGGTCATCTTTAAACCCCAAACCCTGTACCACGTGACCTAAACCCCCTAGAACCCTCTAACTGCGAAGTCGTAAACCCTCACACCCTAAAGCCCTGAACCCTACACCCCTGAAGCCCTAAACCCTAGAAGCCCTCAACCCTAGACCCTGAAACCCTGAACCCTAGAACCCTACGCCGCAAAACCTGAAGCCGCTTTTGGAAGGTCATCGCCGTCGACGAGGACAGCACGGACACGGAAGATCCTCTGGGCCCCTCGCGAGCCGATGCGGACGCCGACAAAGGCACCACCGATACCTGGCGCCGATCTTGAGACTACGGCGGTTTAGGGTTTGGGTTTGGGCTTTAGGGTTTGACTACGGTTGATGGTATAAGTCCTGCATTACCCATAATAAGGACTATAACATACTTCCCATGGTCTAGGCTCATTAAGGTAATGCAGGATTTTCATCATCAGCAGTAGTTGTTTTGGGTTTGGGCTTAGGGTTGGGGGTTCATGCCAAGGGGACTGGGGTGTGGGATTAGGATTTCGGTTAAGGGTTTGGGGTTTGGGGGTCTTTGGCGGGTTGCTCAGAGTTTTTGTTGAAATCTCGATCTCAAAAAGAGTTTCGTGCATTCTTTGGACGGGTCAACAAATCACTGTGTTTGAAGGGCTCGCTTACCTAAACCCTTTACCGAAACCTAGCCCAGGACAACGCCCTTGGCTTCTTCACTGGCTGTGGCTTGAACATGCTGATGACCTTCGGTGCCTGCCAGGCCTTCAGGTAGGGGAGTGGGGGGAGGGGGCTAGGTTGCCTCATGAGACCCTTATGAAGGCCTTATGAGGACTCTACCCCCCTCCCCCTTGCCACCGACTACATGCAAAGGGTGCCTTTATGGATGTTCTCTAAACATTAAGCTGGAGACTCTCAACCCTAAGACCTAAAGCCGTGTTTGAGGGGTTCCTCTACGGGTGTTCTATAGACATTAAACTCTCAACCGCAAACCCTACATCCTAGTTTCTGGGTTCCCAATACCCCTTCCTTGAGGAATATAGCCTAAGTCATAGTACGAAACCCTTTATGGTCTAAGGTATATTCCTCAATTAAGAAGTTGGGGTTCAGAGTTCAGAGTTTGGCAGTTTAGGGTTTGGGTTTAGGGTGTTTAGGGTTTAGGGGTGAGGGCTTTCAGGGTTTAGGATTTAAAGTGCAGGGGTTAGCGGATTTAAGGACCAGTGTATTGGAGCTTAGGTTTCAAGACGACCTCCGGTGCCTTTGCACCTAGCTTTACTTCCCTTCACCTTAACCCTCGAAATTACACATGTGACTAAACCGTTAAACACTGAAGCCCTGACCCCTGCCTGCAAGGCCTTTCACGAAGAGCCTGCGAACTCCTTCGGAAAGACCTTGACTCTTGCCTGGAGAGTTCGAAGTCTTTTTCATTTAATTAGGGTTTAGGGTGTAACTATGGGGTTTAATGAGGGAATAATGTGCTTTGATTCTTAGTGGATGATGTGGAACCAATGACTTTCCGTCGTGATAATCCTTCAACTCTGTACACCGTAGGGGCCCCAAGCGGGGAACCCGTTTCCCCAAGCCTGATTGAGACATATGAAGTCTGAGTCGCATCACAAGTGTAGGCATAATGCCCTTGCGATTGTGGTTTAGGTTTCAGGGTGCAGGGTTCAGCACCTGGATTAAGAATCGCAGTAGTCTCTCCCGCAGCATCGCGAGATAAAGAACACCAACAAGAATGCGAATTGCGCCACGCTAGTGCGTACTTTCGATTGCCACGCTGAACAGTGGCATTGAGCGTTAATTTCAAGTTCCGCTATCTATTATCAGCATATGTTGATTGCCATGCCCTGGTCGATCACTCATCATCGTCATCCTCATCCTCGTGTTCCTCACCATCTTCTCATTCGCATCATCGCAGTGACCGTCAGGTTGAGTTTGTTCCATCATGAAGTCGTTTGGAGAAATTCTTTAGTCAGTCCTTTATCAAAGAAAAAGTTTTTTGTTGCTGTAGAAATCCAAACCTATCTTGCAGAGCCATCGTCATCGTTGCATGCAGCATCGAACATGAACACAGAGACCAAGCGCGGTATCGTACTGGAGACAGTGATGGTGTTCATACACGCGGACTGTGTGCGTTTATGCACAGCCGCATGCTCACACACGCACACACACACAATAACTTTGTCGAGTGTATATGCATACATACGGGTATACCTTCATTTTTACAAGGAGAGAGAGAGAGAGAGAGAGAGAGAGAGAGAGAGAGAGAGAGAGAGAGAGAGAGAGAGAGAGAGAGAGAGAGAGAGAGAGAGAGAGAGAGAGAGAGAGAGAGAGAGAGAGAGAGAAGAGAGAGAGAGAGAGAGAGAGAGAGAGAGAGAGAGAGAGAAGAGAGAGAGAGAGAGAGAGAGAGAGAGAGAGAGAGAGAGAGAGAGAGAGAGAGAGAGAGAGAGAGAGAGAGAGAGAGAGAGAGAGAGAGAGAGAGAGAGAGAGAGAGAGAGAGAAAGAGAGAGATAGAGAGAGAGAGAGAGAGATTGCACTGATTTCAAACCATCATCTTCAGTGTCATCATCATGTCATGTGCGCAGGTATGAAGCCTCAAACCCTACCCTAAGGCTCAAAATAGCCCACCAGGCTGACACCCTAAACCCTACACCCGAAACCTAGACCCCAGGCCCGAAACCCTAAACCCTCCCTTAAGCCGGAATAACCTACCTTTTTAGGGTTCCTTACTGTGATTTCCTTACATAAATCCTTAAAAAGGTAGGTTATTCCGGCTTAAGGTCAATCCTAAAGCAGTGTCGTCTTTGGGCCCCAGAGCCGAGCAAAGCAAAGAGCAGCCGAGGATAACCTTAAGCCCTAAGCCCTAAGACCCTAAGCCCCAAACCCTAAACCCAAAGACCCTAAGCCCTGAACCCTAAACCCTTAAAAAAAAAGAACCCCAAACCCTAAGACCAAGACCCAAAGCCCTAAACCCTAAACCTAATCAGCAAAGACCAGCCGAGGATCGCAACGGCGAACAGCCGCAAGCTGGGAGGGGAGCTTGCCAGCGCCCCCAGGGGTCCCGTTCTTCGGGTCCTGTTATAGAGGGTTCTCCTTTGGACATTTTTTAGTTTCTCATGCAGTTCACCCGGGAGTGTTTCTTGATTTATGATGGACTTATGACTTGTTAGTAGAGTTCGCTTTGATATTACAAAGCAAGTTTTGAAGCAGTGTTGGGGAGGGTTGATTAGATTGGGGTTTTGAGTCATGTATAGTACTATACATATATATACGCATGGATATATCATGTAAAAATGAATTCATGCATGTTTCTGCTGGTTATGTGTAAGAACTTTAAATAGCATTAATGAACACGAGTTCAAATTCCGTTTCCATGATAAAGGTAAGTCGTAGATATTGAGCTTTTCCCCAACGCTATACTCTAAACCCCACAAACCCTAAACCCTAAACCCTTAAACCGTGGTTCTATGATCAGATCCCAGGTTCTTGCCATCTGGCGTCTTCTCCGTGAGATTCCTGCCTTGACACTTGGCATCTACAAGGTCATAGGACTTTAGGGCTTGGGGTATACAGGGTTTAGGGGATTTCACAGCGTCCTCCGCGGCTCTAGGAAGCTCTTCAAAGGGTTTCTTCGGGTGTATAGAATAGAAAGGTTTTAGTGTTCGGGGCCAGAGTTGAAAATTCGGCATGGGGCCGTAGGAGACCCATGCCGTCCTGCTGTCATCATGACCTCGTACATCCTTAAATGCAATCGCTTGTGCCCGAAACCCTGCACCCGAGCTCCGGTTACAGGGTTTAACGGTTTCTGTTTCTGGGTTGAGTCTTTGGCCAGCTGACACATACCTTAGGGGTACTTAGAAATAATTCTTAATTTTTGGTTATTATAATCCCTAAGAAACAGCTAAAATTACATTTTTTTCAGTATAGATACGCTGTCTCCCCAAAACCTAAACCCAAAAACCAAAACCCTAAACCCTAAACCCTCGCTGTCTGCCCAAGATCAGATCAGGATTGTGGCTTCGCGAGGTGACAAGATCGTTCCAATCGAAAGATGCCCGGCTGTGACGGTTTGTGCCAAAACCTTTTAAATCCCAAAACCCGAAGACTCTACACCTACAGTGAAAACTGATCCCGAGTCTTAGACCTAAATCCCAAACCTGTAGCCTCTACCTGTAACTCCAAACCCTACAAGATAGCAGGTTATGACACCTTAATCATAGGGTTGAACCCCTAAAACAGTAGGTTTTTGGATCCCCAGGTAAACCTAAACCAATCAAGTCTAGACAGTCTTGGACTTGAGGATCAGAGCTCTTGGCCAAGTGGCTGCGCGAGCTTCCGAACCGAGTGCTGAGCCAAGCGCAGCGCTGGCAGGATGCGAAGATTCTGGGACAAGACGGCACCGCCGTGCGCACGCTGACACTCGGTCTTGGCACACTGCTGAAGATATATGTATAATATATATATATATATATATATATATATATTATATATGTTAGAAGACACCCTCGCGGGCAGTGACACTCTACTTCCAACTTGCGCCTCGTAGTGATGAGCAGCTATAGCAGGCGCTTCAGAAGGATAGTAGTACCAATGCTAATCATTCGATCATTTGAGTAGTCAGGAAACACCAACTGTAACAAGGTTGACGACCAGATGAACATTCCGCTGGCAGCAATAAGATATCCGTAATCAGAAACTGGTCATGCTGGCAACATGTTTTGAGTGACCGTTACTGTCGTCACTTTAAGATTAGTCTTTGCTATCTCGTTTACAGTTTAAATTCAACAGAGATAGCAAAGACCAAGGCATCAACTGTGCAACATTACAAGTCTAGCGCAGGCGAGCTTTCCACACGAAGTAAAACAGGTAGTTTCAGAAAAAGTAAAATCAAGTTCCGCAACAGCGCGAAGCTGTATGACACTGACCAACTTACCGGAGCGAAACGAGTACATGATCAACAGAATAATGCAGAAATCCATAACCAGCAGTAGTACATGCGAGTTATAATCGTCGTCACCAGCATAGCCACGATCGCCAGAGACACCGACACCATCATCGCAAGGAGCAGGAACATCATCACCACTGTGCAGCAATCATCGAGATCATCGTCATCATCACTACCGTCATGATCACCATCTCCAGTACATTCTTTATATTCATCTCCATCTCTATCTGCGTCTCAATCTTCATCTTCGTCTTCATCAGCAGCATCATCTTCATCTTCATCATTGTGGGTCGAACATGAAACAGCTGCATGTATTTGGCACGAGCCGGTATCCCCGCCCCGGACACTCCGAACGACTGCATGCCGATACCCGGAAAGCCAATTAACTTCAGTGAGGCAATCTAGGACGCGCAGTAGTGCCCTCATTCCCCTTTTGTAGTCCTGGGTCCCTTATAAAGTTACCCAATGCCAAAAACCTTTTTATTCCTTGGTTACTGGGCATCGTAGCAATAGAGCGGGCTGACTAATTACGATTATTAGATGTTGTTAAATACTTCCTTTACCAGTCCTGTGGGTTGCCTACGTAGTACAATAGCTCGTCTACATAACATTCCACCAAGGCCTTGATTATTCTAACTCGTACCATAAGGCCCCTCCAATTATGACACCAGGGCCGTCGTGCACACATGGCTCCTCAAAAGAGATGCCGTATCACACAGAAGTACGGTCACCAATATCAAGCCTAAATCCTAAACCCAAAACCCCAGTTCTTAAACCCTACATAAATCCCAAAGCCTAAACCCTAAAGCCCAAAGCCTAAACCCTACACCCCAAAGCCTAAACCCTAAACCCCAAAGCCTAATCCTTAAACCCCAAAGCCTAATCCTTAAACCCCAAAGCCCAATCCCTAAACCCTATAAACCCCAAGTCCCCCCTAAACCCTCCCAATGCAAGGACCCTCGAGAAGGCGCTGCACTGCAGAGGAATGGTCAGCCACACCAAGGAGACGCTACGCTTGAATGATGCCTTGGTGGGGAGCCCTAAGGTGTCCTTTAAGGAATCCTTTAAGGGGTCCTTTCAGGGTACCTGTAAGGGGTCTTTTAAGGGTTCCTTTAAGGGGTCCGTTAAGGGTACCTGTAAGGGGTCCTTTAAGGGTTCCTTTAAGGGTTTAGGGTATAAGGGTCCATGTACCCAAATAGTATAAACTTTGGCCTTACAGTACTCCCCAAAACGGGACGTTGGGCCCAAAGTATATACTATTTGGGTACATGGATCTTTAGGGTAGGGTTTGGGATGTAGGGTTTGGGACATAGGGATTGAGGGCTTAGGGATTTAGGCCTGTGTGGGGTTTAGGGTAGACGTACAAGTTTCAAGGGGAGCCCTAAACCCCTGATCCCTGCGAGTGCACTCTTGCTCAGGTATTGGGAAGCCGTTGACGGATTGGTGGCGCACTGCCTCAGCTGAGGGCTACCGGAATCCTGTGTTAGCGCGGCCCTCCGAGAAAGAGAGGAAGAACAACGGACAAGCTCCGACTGCAGGGGTGGTAGAGAGTCTACACCAGAGTGACCTTGGCACTTCTGTCCCTTTTCCCAGTCTGATGGTTGGGTCAAGCGCACCTGGCAACGATCATGACAGCAATTGTTGTTCGCCGTACGGTACTCGTGAGTATTGCTTTCAAGGCCCTTGTAATCTTCCATCTACGAACCCCGACACTACGAACCCCGACAGAAAAAATGCTCCTTAAGGCTAAACTAAACCTTAGACTTGCTTCTACTGTCACCTCTCCAAATCCCCTCGTACCCATGCCACCACTACAACTATCCTCCTCCTCCCACTACTACTGCTACTGCGACTGATACTGCTACTGCCACTGCTACTGCTACTAATGCTACTACTACTGCTACTACTACTACTGCGACAACTACGACTACTACGACGACGACGACGATTGCTACTGCTACTGCTACTGCTACTGCTACTGCTACTGCTCCTGCTGCTGCTGCTGCTACTGCTACTGCTACTGCTACTGCTCCTGCTGCTGCTACTGCTACTGCTACTGCTACTGCTACTGCTACTGCTGCTGCTGCTACTACTACTACTACTACTACTACTACTTCTACTACTAGTGTTTTTTGGTATGCTTAATATTCTGATTAGTAGTGCTCGTCGTTGGTGGTGGTGTTAAGCAGGCTCAAAGCATCAAAGGGACCCATGAGCGGAGGCTTTCAGGCTGCTTCGTTGCGTTGCTGGTTGCAGAGCACTGCACATCCAGGATTTCCGGTGCCTTCTCCTTTAACGGTTTGGGGTTTAGAGGAACCCCTTAAAGAAACTCTACTCTAATCATTGAGGCCCCTACATGCAGACCCCTTTCAAGGCGCTTCCTGTCGGCCCTAAACCCCCTACCCCAAAGGCCCTAAAGCCCTGGCCCTAGGGTTTAGGGTTTAGGGTTTAGGGTCATATTTGGGATTCTGATGCCAGTTGCGACGATCCCCACTACGAGCTGTTCGACTGAGCTCCCTTCGAGAGCTTCTCTCGAGGAAGGAATAATCCTTGAACCTTAGGTGACCTCAGATAAATAAACCTGCCGCTTTAAGGAACTAGGGAAGGAAATGATAGTGAGGAGCCCCCCCCAAAAAAACTGTAGGTTTCTTAGATTTCAGGAAAGCCCAAAACCCGAACAGAACTTATAGAACCCTTAAAGGAAACCACCGGAAACTGTAGTTTTCTTAAGGGTTCAGGGAAGCCCGACTTGGAGGTTCATGGGTGGAAAAAAAGCGGGGTTATAAGGGGTTTGTTCCTTTAAAGGGCTCTATAGGGTTTAGGGTTTAGGGATTGCTGTTTAGGGTAGTTATGAATAGGGTAGTAAGTAGGGTAACTATACTTATAGTGCATATTGGGGTACTTATAGCCCCACTTATAACTACCCATGAACCTCCAAGTAGCCCTCGCTGCCAGCAGCTGAACCGTAAACCCTAAACCGTGGCTTTGCAACCCGAAAAAGCCGTAAACCCTAAACCCAAAGACGGATCCTCATTTCGCAAGGCTTAGGCACTCGGGCTTAGGCTTAGGGGTGTAGGGGTGTAGGGCCGTGGTCGTAGGGTTTTGGGATTTAGGGTTTGGGGGATTTAGAGTCTAAGGTTTAATATATGGGCCTTAATAATTACCTATACTATTTTGCGGGTTTCTTATCATAACCATAGTAGAATGGGCCCCTGAACCCTATTCTAATTATTGAGGCCCTTACAATAAGTCTAAGCCATTTACAGGTGGGTAGTTATTAGGTGGGTAGTTTCCCATAAGCCTCCCATACCACTCCTATAAGGTAAAGGGGGTCTTATGGGAGTACTATGGAAGAAGAACTACCCACCTGTAAGGGGCTTCTAATAAGGTCTTAGGGTTTCGGGGTTGGGGAGCCGTGGCCTGAAGCTTCAAGACCTTTGCCTAGAAGTTTCATCACCGTAGGCCCATACACCTCTGCCCTAAACTCTAAACACCTTAAACCCTTGAGTGGCTGAGTGGATACACTTTACACTTATTGGGATAATGATACCCACTATAAAACTAAATGTGTACACTTTGGGGGGCTTATGAACTGAGCAACTCAGAACCCATGTCAACCGTAAACCCCCAAACCCAAAACCCTGCCCTAAATTCCAAAGGCTCGAATTGGAATAGGAACAGCCGCGAACCCGATGAGCCCAGAATCATCACCCGAACGCCCTTTGGTGACATCTCCTTGGCTTTAAGCAAACTTAAGCAACCCCAGGAAACACTTGTAGGACCCCATAGTTTAAGCATCATCAAGCCGAAACTCAAGCCAGGGTGAGAGGGTGCCGGGTTTAGCGGGTTAGTGTAATTAATTTCTGATGTACCTCGCCGGGAAGCAAGTTGTCTAGTAAGCTGGCCTATACACTCCCCCAAAGCAACATCGTTTTGGGGGGTACTGGACCCCCCCAAACCCTAAATCCTGAACTCTAAACTCTAAACCCTGAACCCTAAACCCTAAATCCATCGCACTCATTGCTGTGCACAGCTCTTGAAAGATACAAGGCTTGTTTTTCCTGAAGACCCGGATCTTCGTGGAATCGAGATAGTGTAGGGTCTAAAGTACCTTAACCGTTAGGGGTACTTAGAAATAGTTTTTAATTTTTGGTTATTAGAAGCCCTAAGAAACAGCTAACATCATAATTTTTGCTAGGGTTCTAAGCTCAGTATAGAACCTGCCAAACCCTACTTTTTGCAGATTCTTATTATGAACCCGAACATGGAGTTTCTAGAGACTCTACAGTAAGGTCGGGCCTGGTAGGTTAATGTAGAAGCCAGAAAGCTAGAAATCAAATTACCCGCATGCCCTTAAGATAAAGTTTAGGGAAGGTCGCCACTAATCAACGCCAAGCAATATACAGGGCCTATATGGTTTATAGTACAGGAATACAGTGAGATATGAGACCCGATGGGTCCCAGGTGCGGGTGCCCGAAAACCCTTCAGAGTCATCTACTCCCAAAGCTTTACTATTTGGGAGTTTCCGAAAATAGGGGACCCTAACATAGTACCCTAAATAGTAGGATCCTTATTCTAGGGACCCCAAAATAAGGTACCCCGAATTTTCGGAAACTCCCATTTGGAGCTAGCAGAATCGGATTGCAGGTTCAGCTCCACTGGGACTCTGAGGGGATACTATACCTGATGAAACCAAAACCCGAACGCTGATCTTCAAGCTGATTGAACTTTTCAGCCTTTCGGCTTGTGGCTCAAGATTTGAGAGGACTGCAAGCACGAATTCTGGCCAAACAGGGCCATTTTTCCTGTCGCCCCGCACAGGTCAAGACCCTGTGCCGTGTCTTGGTCAAGCTTCGGTATGCGTTTTACTTTGTTGCAAAACCCAAAACCCTGAAACCCCACCCAAAACCCTGAACTTTCAACCCAACGCCCTAAAGGCAAAGCCTGAGCCCAGGTGTGCCCTTGCGTCAGATGGCGTGTGACATGCTATGTGTGCACATGCGTCTTCCGAAGACTCCTGGATGCTCCCTTAAGGTTTCCTTTACAGGTTCCTGCAAGGTTTCAGAAAGGCATTCGATAGTTTTTGCGGTGCTCTGTACGGATTCTTTACCGGCGTCTATAGGGGTTTCCCCGGGGTTGTATAAGGCTTCACAGCGACTAGGCCCCAATAGTATCATGCAGTATCCTGTCTCTCCATTCGTTATGGGGGTTTCCTCGTTAAGACTGAACAAGACGAGCAGGGCTACACTTGCTGTTAGGGGCTACTATAGAAGCCTAAATAATTTCCTATACTACACTAGGGTTCCTTATTCTAATTATCGTACAATGTGCCCCAATACCCTGTTCTAACTATTAAGGCCCCTATACTATATATCATCGAACCCTACTATCTATCCCTTATAGACTCCTTCGAAGAACCCTTTAAAAGAACCCATTCTAGTTATTAAGGCCCCTATATCACAGGGTACTCTAGCAAGAGTTGGGGGCAGGTCGTTGAGTGTGAGCTCAGGCTTCGCTTCGGGGCCAAAGATTCGTTTGCGGTTGAGGGTTTAGGGAATTAGGCTTTGGGGTTTAGGTGTTGGGGTTTAGGGTTTAGGGTTTACGGATTTAGGCTTCGGGGTTTAGTGTTTAGGGTTTAGGGATTTAGGCTTTGGGGTTTAGGGTTTAGGGTTGGGTTCGAGCACCGGGCCTTTATAAGTAGAATAGGGTTTCGGTCCACATTATTCCTGATTAAGGGATGCCATTGGTTCAAACCCAGGATAGTAGGGCTTAGGGCTAGGGGCCTAGGATGGCGTAGGATTCAGATACAGGTTTAATAGTAGGGTTTAAGGTTTAGGAATGTAGGCGTTATGATTGAAGGGCCCGGGTTTGGGTTCTACGGTTTCTTTCGTAATTGTTTTGGAATTACGAAACAGCCATAGCCCCGGTTAAACTATAGAATCCGCACAAGAACGCACAAAACCCGTAAATGGAAACTTACGGAACACATGGAAAATCCAATTAAGCCCTTGCAACAGCTCAGGAAGCACCGGGCAGAGGAGTGGGCAGGGCTTCCCTTTCAGGTCGGTTCCTTGCAGTAGCCTGTACAGGGGCCCTCGAAGTACCCTCAAAAGGAACCCTGGAAGTACCCGTTAAACGTGGTTCAGAAGCTATATTCCTTAATTAAAGGATATTGGGCTCTCTGGGTTGCTCCGGGAGTCAAGCTATAAAGGTTTGTGGAGGCTCCAATAAAGGCCCGATCAAGACACTGAATTCAAGCCCCAAGGCCACCCAAACCCTGAATCCCTGAACACGAAATCCTGGCGGCCAGACGGGCCTTGCCGATCAGTAGAGGCGGAGACAATCAGAGTCGTAAGGAGCGTGTCAAGGCGCTCGCGTTGTGGCAAGCGCTCATAGTCACCTCCGTGTGGACTGGCAGTCACTCTCTCGAAGGCTTCGGATGCTCAGGTTCCGATAATTTTGG